GGTCCCCGCCCCGCCCGGGCGGGCAGCCGCGGAGCCACCGAGGGAATACCCCGCTGGCGTCCCGCCACCCGCGGCCATGGACAACGGGACTGGGCTACCGCCGCCAACGTGCAGCGGGAGGCTTGCCATAGACGGATCCTCATGCAGAAACTGACACTCGTCTCCATAAAAGCACGTTTTATCTTTCGCGTAATATCTGCAAAACTTCACCTTGACATTGGGTATCCCGGCACCCCCGAGCGAAGCAGTTGACGCTGGGAGTCCACTGTTCATGGCACCACTGCTGCTGCCGGAAGACACTCAAACATAGAGACGCAGATAGCTAGCGAGCTAGCAAGCTAGCCTGCTAACAGTTTCCCCCTCAAAGTAACAGACTACTATGACTTCAGCTTGTGCAGAACACTCACGGCGCCATAGTATTCACATTATAACGATAAATGCACTTTGATTCTAGAAAATATCAATGCACACATTAAATCCTGGTCGTCATTGTTATCGCTATCCATACAACTACCTTCTTCTCGGAGTAACCTGTTTTTTTTTTTCTCCCCTCCTCTTTTTGTTGCTTTGCTATGAAACAGCTACTACAGCTTTGCATTGTGGGTAATTGTTACGGTTATGTGTACCTGCAGCAAAAGCAAGCTGAGTTCTTGGGGATTGTGAATGTAAACACAGTGTAGCTGAGGAACAGGGGGTCTTTTGAACTTGGTTTACCGGATCGATACGCTTTAGTTTGTGTTTTCAACTGTCAACAGGATATATATATATATTTTTTTTTTACTTCAGTAAATTTGTATTTTTATTTTATTCCAACATTTACGTTAAACTGCGATACAGCCTGCCCCGCCCCAAAAATGCATGTAAATATAAGTAGAGGAAAAACAAATGAACTCTAGACAGCTTGTTGGGAATTTAGAGGTACATTTAAAATATTGCAGAGGCGAAAATATAAAATAAAAGTCGATTTCCATAAAGATTATTTGATTTGCAATCGATATTTTACCACACATATTATAGCTTTGTGACTATAAATAGGCGTATTTATGACAATTTCGCAGTAATTTTACATTTTTACCTCTTGAAAAGGTTATTATCCGTTGAAATTTTTCAGCAAACCTCCCCAAAAAGTTTTTTGAAAATGAGAGATCAAATATTAATTCAATGTGATGCAGTTTGTCTTTTAACTTTCCTTCAGCTACAGAGAACTGGTTAATCCTTTACCCGGAAACAACAGAGGACGCTGAGCAGATTTACTGCAAACAGATAGAAATGGTTTGTTTTATCACAGTTTTAAAAAATGAGGGAATTTGCATAGCATCAGCATGCATTTACAGTCGAGTAAATGTACATTTAATTTGTTTTTGTTTTTTTGTTTGTTTGTTTTTTGGTTGTTTTTGTTTTTTTGTTTTTTCCAAAAAGCAGCCTGCATTTTAACGCAAGCAATTTCCAACTAGAGCATTGGCATTTGGTGACATGAAAAGGCATATTTTGTATGTGAAGTTTCAGTCTACATGTGAAAACACAGATGGTAACGACTGAATATAGCAGACAGGCGTGGCCCGAAACTTGACATTGTACTTCCTCCGCTTAAAATGTAGTGCCGCCCAAATCGTACACCACAGTTTCCCAATGTGAATTGAGTGATGAGTATGTGACACTGACAAAAAACGCGTACGGCGAGAGAGAAATATGATGACTGGTGAGTTGTTTGTGTTCTGTTATTCAAAGTTCTCAGTGACTGACACTTCAGAATCAGAGTGAGTATATAGCCTATATAAACTGTTATTATTTATTATTAACTATGAAATTGGGTCTTAAAATTGATATTATCTGGGGGAATAAATCACTGGACAAATGTTGGTCTACATCGGAACCAAATGTTTAATTGTACAGTAACACACACACTGGTGACTTATCAACAGTCAGCTATGGTTTAGAAATATATTATAAGGAACTGCATAACCTAGATCAAAAGTGTTGAAAGGCATACACTGTGACCACCATATACAAATGAAAAGTCTGGACATATATAAACATACAAATTTATTGATCGTTACAAGGGTGTTGTTAGTTTTCCATTATACTTATTTATATATTTCTATTTTCACATGCATTTTATTTAAAACAACAATTTTTATTCAAAAGACATACAAGTATTTTAAATAACGCTAGAATATTCCATCCTTCCAGCTTTTCTCCTGCTGTGTGTTGTTGGGGTGCTCTGCTCTGATGCTGCGGCAGAGCAAAATGGATCCTGTGAGCCCAGGCCTGAGGTAAAAGCTGCCACAATAAACACAGTAAACTTTAACTACACAGCTTGAATTATGTACTAGTCTTTCTGAGTTAATGCATATTTCAGGTAAGCTGTGGGATTGTTTAATGAAATGTATAATGTATCTGATATACTTAAAACACTACATTAGCTACAGTACATTCACACTGCAGGTTTTACAAAACCTAATGCTATTTAATATAGGTTTTTACAAAGTCTGTTGCACCACACATATTATTGGTATGGGTGTCACTAACACACCATGGTCTTCTCACTAAAGACGGGTGTTTTTGTTTTAGAGTGCACGATTCACTTAAAAACAGAAAACAAAAGTGCAGAGCAGCAAGAGGCTGTAAAGCAAAGATGGAAATAGTTCAGACCTGACAAAACACACTCTTGTTTCATTTCTGTTTAGCACTTTGAAGTCTGTCAGGTGATGTGTTATTTTAGTATAACCTTTAAAAAATTACAGATTGGGGATAGTATTTGAAATGACACCATTTGACAAATGTAAAAGCAGACATAAGGTTCACTGGGATGGCATTTGTAGTAAATAAACTGAAACATTCACACATCCTGTGAATAATATTTTATGAAATATAGACATCGTATAGTCTTATCAATTTTATGTGCTTTAAATTTTTCTGTATGTTTTTTAATGCAAAGTAGTGAATAGTTTTGTGCTACCACATTGAAAGCTATTTAATACCAGTGATTAAATGGTGAGTTTTGTCTTTCAGGTTGAATGTTTTGTGCTAGATGACTATCTGAATGCATCCCGTCCTGTCAAAGTTGAGGCGTGCTCTGGTAAGAAATTCAACATCTCCCTGGAGAGCTTCAGTGGATATGCTGTCTGTTACCACATCGGAGAAAAAGGCCAAATGACGATGTAAGTCAATGTAATTGTTTGTCTTTAGATGCGCTTTTTTATTTATATATTTTTGATTATTTCTGACCATTTACATTTTACCAGGACCTGGGGTCGCGTCATGGTCCTACCACCACTTTCTGAGACCGATTCTGGGGAATATATTCTGATTTCTGAAACTAGCAACGTGACCAGGGCCTCAGTGAATAAGTTTTTCCGTGTAGTAGCAAGTGAGTAACATCACTTAAGTATCTCCTGTCCGCAATGCTCAGTCAGCATTTAACACAGCAGACAAACACTAGAGTGTTTGATGCTAATAAATCAGTGTTAAGAAAACTATGTTAACCGTTTATATTTTTTCTAGAATGTCCAAGAAAACCACAACTGATACTGGAGAGGGTAGATGGATCAATGTTATCCCCTCATTTCACCTGCATCTCTGAGGGCTTACCAAAGCCTGAAATTTGGTGGTCTGGGTAAGATGTTATCCATTACACTTGCATGCATAATTCAGAGTATGTTAAACTGATAGCAATGTGGTCTACTGACACCTCAAGAAAACATCCACTATAGTGTGATTTTCTGAATAATGATGTTTCTTCTGTGACAGGACAAGGACAGGGAGTTCAGTATCGAGTGCTGACTATCATAACAAAGGAGTGATGTGCTGTGCTACTAATGAAGAAGGACAAGAGTGCACCCAACTGTATGACTACGGTAACTAAAGAGCTCAACAAATTACTCAAAAATAATCTACAAAAGATTTATCTGCAATAAGTGATTGTAGATGCCAGGTAATTTGTTCAGTTCTGGACCTCAACCATCTAAAGATGTTAGGGACAAATCCAGTTTGCAGCCCGGGGACTATCTCTAGTTAATTTCATTTAAATAGAAAACATTTAAATAGAGTACAGTTTTAAAAAACTGACTATCAAATCTGTTCTGTGACTTGATGCTCTTTTGTCCATCTCAGACCTGGACCGTGATCCAGAGAAAAATGAGGAGGATTTTAATGTGACTGTGAGCTCCAAGCAGTCTTTGCTGCTACGCTGCCGAAGTAGGAATCCTAAGCCTGTGTGGAAGAAGGACAACGAAACACTGGATGACAGAAAATTAGCATGTTCTTCTAAAGATAACAAAGAGGTACAATAATCTGATACTGAGACAACTGAGATTTTCTTTAAAATTTCAATGAACAGAATTGAGTTCTTTCCATTAGTGTTTGTCAAAATCATAAGAAATATATATTTTTCTTCCAGCTCTGTATTAAAAGTGATAGGCATTTGTCAACTCGTATGGCCTACGTGTTCATCAGATCAGTTAGTGAGGAGCACAGGGGCATGTACACCTGCACAGGAGGGGGAAAGATAGCTAAGGCTGTTGACGTTCGTATCCAGGGTTAGTAGAGTTGCTTTTTTGTATTTACACTAATTGCAATAAATAATCCTGAATGATTCTTATTCTCTCTAATACTTAGGTCTGTTTGTACCAATTGCACATGAACTGAATTTATTCTTGTGTTGCAGATAACGCTTCCCTCGATGCCCAGTTGAATAAGAGCAAGATCATACCAGCTCAGAAGGCATCGAGTACTTGTCTGCAAGCCAGTGTTTCTTACCACCCTGTGCTCCACTACTGTTCCTGGGAGACTCCCGATAACATGAGAATTAAATGCACGAGGGAAACGTTTGTTACGAAACACAGGTAGTCCCATGAATTGATGCTTCCAGAGCTCAGCTTTCTGTATGAACTTCTAAAAATGTTACCAAATGCTGTCAGAGTGTAGAAACATACAAAACACTAATGTCTTTTCAAGAGCATTAACAGACAACTAGTATTGGCAAATATAATCATATGCTACTGCGTACATTCTTAAAAACTTTTGGATGGTTTCATATAAAGCTGTGGGATATAACACTGTTTTTTCAGGACTGTAAGGCTATGTCCTCAAAACCCTTCACACCCCTCACTCATAACAGGAGATTATAAGTTACACTTGATGGCTGGGAACCAATATCTAACGAAGACTATAACAGTGAAGGTTGTAGGTAAGAGAAATGGGTTGTTTTTTATTAATGTAACTTCTGAAACAATTATATCGTTTTTAAAACTTATCTTTGCAATTATATTTTAAATGTTGCAAAGCTTATTATCCACTGGTTTTGTTTCAGGGCCACCAAAGTTCACATTCAACGATAACTCTGATAGTATCAGCTGTGAGACTGATAGCCTTGTGCCAGCTAATTGTACCTGGATGTCTTGTTCATCCAATGACAGGTACGATTAGTGTCAGAGGGCCCTGATGTGCATGTGCAAACACACACATGCTCAGATTTCCTCAAATCACTGATCTTTGTCTCATTGCAGCTGTGATGGAGACTCTTGCTGTGAAGTGATCAGGAGCACTTGGCAAACAGTCTCTGATGCCTATAATAAGACAATCAAGATCTCAATAAAAACAAGCCAAATAAATGGACCTGAGTTAAAGTGTTGTCTCACAAATTTCATTGGCACCTGGTGCGAGCGTCTATACAGAGTCACATACGGAGGTAGCGAGAGCTGTTTTATTTTCCAATATGATTCTGTGAATTTGGCTTGTTTTTGATGATACTGATTTTTTTCTTCTGTCACATTTTTTTGAAGCTCTTCAACTCAAAAACAACAGCTTCATAAGAGACACTTTGTTTCTGCCTTTGCTTCTGGCTTTGGTAGTAATCATTGTGGTAACCATGTGTTTCTACTTCAGCAGAAAGAAGGTACATATTACCCACCAGCACACAAACAAACAAACACATGTAAGCGCAGGAACATGAAGACAAAACTGCAACTGTCTTTTCATCCAATAGAAATCTCAGTATCAACCCCAGCTTCAGATAATCGGGATGACTGGATCCAGTGACAATGATTATATCTACATCAACTTCAGGGACTTTGAATATGATTCAAAATGGGAGTTTCCCAGGGAGAACCTGGAACTAGGTATGAATTGCACTAGGCAAGAGACATGACACTAGACTTATGTGGTGGGAGAAGTACTCAGATCCTTTACTTAAGTAAAAGTACCAGTATAACCATGTAAAAATACTAAATTACAAGAGAAAGCCCTGCATTGAAAAGCCTACCTAAGTAAAAGTGCAAACCTATTATCTGCTAATGTACTTAAAGTACAGGTTTTGCAGAAAAGCAGCCCCTTCACACAGATATATGTGAATATTGATGCCTCAGTGTTTAAGAAGCATAGTTATAACTGGTCAAGATGGAGCTCATTTTATCTGCTTTGTTTACAAATAGCAAAGGGTAACAAAAAAAGGGGCCAAAAAGTTTTCTTATTTTTCTCTGATTTTTGGTTTTTGGTTTTAAGTTTTCACTGGTTTGGGCTCTGGACAGTCATTTAAATGAAACCATTTATGAAGCTGAGAGGGGAAATGACTCTTTGGTGGAATTGTTAAAACCCTGTAGACATCTGAGGAGTGTCAACGGGTGCCAGTATTTTTTAAGGTGCCTTAAGCCAAAAAAGTTGTGAGCCACAGGTTTAACCATCAACAATATATTGTTTGATATAAACATCCATTTTTTTCCATGTTAACACTCAACTATAAAACTAAAAGTGTAAAATTGAGTATGGAAATAGAAAAAGTGATATTCAAATGCCTCCAAATGCCACTTAAGTATATTACATGAGTAAATGTATTTAGTTACACTCCACCACTTCAAGACCTTTTTATTTTATTATTCGAAGTGTCCTTGCAGTGAACCAGTTAAGGTATACTGGCCTGTAAAATTCATAGGAGCAAAAACCAAAATAACATTAATGGTCTGAATGTTTCTGTGTCCACCCCATTCAGGGATTAAGCGGTGGAAAATGAATGAATGTTTCTGTGTCCTCCTCAGGAGAAGATCTGGGCTCTGGGGCTTTTGGCATGGTGATCCAGGCTATGGCCTACGGCATCACCAAGCCTGGAGTCTCGCAGCAGGTGGCTGTGAAGATGCTAAAAGGTTAGTCTTTAATATAGTTATTGAGTGAAATGTGATGGAGGTCATTTTAATGCCTAATGTGATTCTTGGCCATGCAGAGAAACACCAGACAGTGGAGAAGGAGGCACTGATGTCAGAGCTCAAGATGCTGATTCACATCGGTCACCATGCAAACATTGTTAATCTGCTTGGGGCGTGCACAGAGTCTGGTATACTGCTGGTTACACACCTGCACAACAAATTTGTATACACTCACTGGACCTGATTTAATCCCACATAAGAGTGGCTTCTACTTCGGTCCTGTAGAGGTTAAATAAATGCTCATTATTACTTGTTTTCCCCATATAGGACCAATATACTTGATTTTCCAGTACTGCTGTTATGGAGACCTGCTG